TCCTGTCTGTCCCGCCAGCGCCCGCCCCACTGTGAGGATGGCGGGCCCCGAGGGGCTCTGTTTCCCCAACACCCGTTCTGCATCTTCCCACCTCGCAGGCCCAGGCCAGGCCCTCGGCTCGGCGTCTGGACCTCCTGGAACCCGATCAGAGAAAACTCGTCACGTCTGTCTTGAGCTGTGCAGCTTCCCTTAAAGATATTTTTTAAATCCCGAATCCTTGGGAATTAATGATGTAGCTGCCTGTGTCCATCTCGCGGGCCTGCTCCTGAGTGCAGCGGGGCCTCCTGCAGCTCCCCGAGAGTCTGCTCTTGCACCTTGTGCCCTGAGCAGAGGAGTCACCCCAGCCCCACCAGGTGTCCGGAGCCTCCCTCCGGGCTTCTCTGACTCTCTCCTGTCCCTGCCAGCTCGTGCTGATGCTGCTCTAACATGCGGGGGCAGGTGGGGTGGATGCCAGTGGAGGGGTCCGAGCCGCTGTTTGTCGTCCCCAGCCCTATTCGGGTCCCAAGCCCATGACGATGAGGGGTCGGAGGGTACCTGATGGCTGTCCCTGTCCAGCCGTGGGCAGCTGGGGCGCTAAGTGCCTCGTCAGGCCGCACCTGTGCCAGGTCGGGGCCTAGCAGGCAGGAGGTGGGGAGGGGTAAGGGCAGCCCCGGCCAGTCCCAGGAGGGGGGTCAAAGAGGAGGGTCCCACATGGCGCGCAGACCTCCCCTGCCGCCCGCTGCTCCCCTCACCAGTGTACTTCGGTCCTTCTGCCTGCTCTGCTCCCCGCTCTGGCTCTGGCGAATTCTCTCACCCTCCCGCGCTTCTGACTGTACCCAGTGCTTGTGTAAATAAATAAATAAATGAATAAATAAATAAAGAAATCTTTGGGGGTGAAAAAAAAAAAGAGAAAGGTGCCTGAGAAGTGCGCAGGGACTCGCTCTGGTGACAGGGGGAGGGGAGGAGACACTTCTATGGCTGGGAAGTCGTCGTGGATGACACCGCGGCCCAGAGAACGCCGCCCTTGCAAGCCGCTGGGCTCTGGAGGAAGAAGAGGAAGGAGACAAGGGCGCGGGAGAGGCCCGAATGGGGTCAGATTCCCAAGTGGTTCGTTTTCTCCGGGGCTGCTGACGGGCCTCTCACAAGCTTGAGGCCCGAGAACGTTCCCCGAGGGCCGCAGGTCCCGCAGCCACCCCGTCCCCGCGGAGCTCAGCGTAAAGATCCTGCACCATAAAGACCACAAGCAACGCCAGACAGGGTTTCAAGCCTATTTTAATCCTTACTTTCAAACCTCCTATAAGTGCTTTGTTCTGGAAGTTGTCCCTTCAGCTGCCGTGTCTGTTGGCATCTCCACGGGCAGCGGGCGTCACGGCCTGAGGAGACTGCCTGCGTCTTCCGCCCGGGAAGGGCGTGGTGCGAACGTTCTGCCATGAAAGTGGCCCGTGGGATACGCGTGGCTCGGCCTGGAACTGGGGCCCCAGCCTTAGGCAGCTTAGAGAAACCGAGGTCTCCCCTTGCCCTCACCGCTGCCCGACGCAACGGGGGTCACAGAGGGCAGGAAAGCGTCCAGTTCCCGTGCAGCTGGTTTCAGCTTCTCCCTCCATGCGGCGGCTCATGGGAGCTGCGGGACAATCTCCGCCTTAGGGTTGGCCTGTGCCGCGCTGTCCAAATCCAGCCCGGCTTTGTGTGTTTGCATGAAGAGCCCTGGGTTGGGTTTCCAGCCTTGCTAGTGTTCTGGAAGTGTGGGGCCTCCCCTGCAGGGGTGGGCCTGTAACCCCCCCTGCTAGAACACCCACCATCCTCCACGAAGGCCCACCATGCTCTCCCCCACCCTGTCCACCCCCTCCCCCACATGCCCCGCGGTCTCTGGTTAGCTTTCAAGGGTTGGTTTTAAAGTGCGTCTTCATCCAGCTCTTTGTTTGGTTTCTCTATTCCACGTATAAGACAGCAGTGTTTTGGGCGGGTAAGGACACAAGGCCAAAGCCTGCCATCTGGAGAGGGCAGCTGAGCAGTGACAGCTGTGATCTCCTTGGCCTGGGCCCGGGTGGGGGGTGGGGTTGGGACCTGGCCTGCCGAGCGGGCACCTGGCAGTGTTAGTGTGACTGCACAGGCCGTGTCCTCATGGGACCTGATGCTCGGGGGTGACGGTGTTCTCAGAGCACCCGCCTGTACCGCGGAGAGGAGTGTGGGGTGGTGGTGCCCTGAGGCGCAGTAAACTGGGTGTCCTGCTACCCCAGAGACCAGGATCTTGGCCCCAAGCCCAGGCATCTGTGTGAGCCGGGCTGATGTAGCCCCAGCGCCTGTGGGCCCAGGCCGAGCGCGCCATCGCCTCTGTTTTATCTGTGAGTCACCCACTTCCTCCACCTGATTCCAGGTGCTGGGGCTGCAGAGGCCGGCGGACGCTCACGGCCTCCCAAGGGGACAGACGGCGTCAGAGAACCCAGAAAGCGGTGCTGGAGGCGGGGCAGGGAGGCGCCTGCGTGGACACGAGGCCGGGGCAGCATCGCGCCTTCATGTCCATAGCTGCTGCTCAGCATCAATTTTTACTCCTTCTTTTGCAGCAGAGCGGCGCAAATTCACTTCTGCAGCCCCCGACCTTCACCTCAAAGGAAAGGCACTCGGCCTCGCAGCGGCCGTCCATCCACACACACTTCAGCTGCCTGTGAATCGCTCCCCTGGCTGAGGGCACAGAGCAGAGCCCTCAGTCAGCTGGTGAATCATTACGGGAAGGCGAAATCCCATCCTCGGGGCCAAGCTCAACCATCCACCCCCAGGGCTCCTGGACACAGGGGATGGATTTAGAAGTGAGACGGGGCAGACGTCACCCGAGCAGGAGGCCTGAGCGCGCCAGGCCGTGCCCACGCTTGTTCCTCAATGAGCAGAACCGAACCCCCGCCCCCCCTGCCATGGCCGTGTCTGGGGTGCATAGAAGCAGAAGGAGACAATGTGCTTCCTAATCCCAATGAATAACCCTTTCCAGTCGATAACAATGTTCCACGTCTCCCGGGGAACAGTCCCGTGGGAGACGGCCGTTGGCTCCCTGGGAGGATCGGCCCAGGCCCCGTGTGCTGGCGTCTGTGCTGCGCCTCTTTGGGGCACAGAGATGATACAGGAAGACGCTGGGCCATCAGTGTGCTCTGCAGCGCCGATGGGAACGTCTCCGCGTGTGTCAGAAAAGCTGGCACGTGCACGTTTGGAACAGGCAGCAGCCTGCTCCGTGCCGGCCAGAGGGAGCTGAGGCTGGGCAGAGGAGAGCCGAGCCTGTTCCCATGCACTGGTCTGAGATGGAGTCGGGGGAGGGGCGGGAGGGGGCGCGGGCAGCAGCAGGTGCCCCTCGCCATTGTTCTCCCACAGTCTCCCCCACCCTTGCCTGCCCCTCCCTGCCCTCCCGTTAGATGGTCAGATCTGCAGGGTCTGAGATCTGCAGCGCAGATCCACAGCCTGCAGGTTTTGTCTCGTTCCAACCCCGGGACCTTTTCAGAACACAGGAGAGTCCCGTGCGTTTCTAGAAGCTGAGCTTTCTTCCCAGGGGTGGGTCGTGAGCACCGGGCGGTCCTCACAGGTGTAAGGGTTTTCTCTCTTACCTGAGAAAATCTTAGCAGATAGAATGAGGGCGGCAACGATTAAGACAAAGATTTTCATGTTTCCGGGGCGAGGGGCGAGGGGGTCGCTGCGGGGCAAGCTCTCCTCAGAGAGGCGACAGAGTGGCTCTGAGGGGCCAGGAGTCACCGGCTTGTCATTAAGAATCAACAATTTTCCCTGCTCCATTGCCCAGCGCGTGGGCTGCTGGGTTAAACTTTACCTCAGAAGCCTGTGGGAGAGTCAGGCGGAGAAGCCGGTCTTCCTGGCCCTCTGTGGTTCGTGGGGTTATGCCACGGGGTGAACAATGCCCAAATGCCAGCACACCTGACCGTGGTCAACCTTGGCAGAGCAGCGGCCTGCGGGCAGGGAATCGGCCCCCACACCACTGGCGGGAGAATTTAATTCCGAGGGCAGGTGAGACGTGTCGGGAACCCCAACAGGCACAGTGGGCGCCAGGGCCACAGAGGGTCTGTGGCCATAGGGGCCAGTGAGGACCCGGAGGCGGGGGCTTGGCCGTGGAGATGGAGCAGGTGCCGGGGGCCAAGGAGAGTCGGGGAGAGACACCCTGAGTCCTCCCTGCTTCCCTCCCTCCCAGCTGTTCCCCTGCCAGGCACGCGGGAGGCACTAGGAGGCTTTGGGAACAGTCGCAGAGCTCTGCGCCAAGGCCCAGGGCTGCGTGGGGGCGGGGGAGCGGCTTGATGCCAGCCGTTCTGACGGCGGGGGCAGCACCTCGCCGTGGCTTATCTCCCTGATGATGAGCAACGTGGCGCGTCTTTTCACAGCCTGTGGGCCATTTGGACGCCATTTGTGTCAACCTGGAGGGACCTTGGGCGCAGGACGCTCCGTGAGAGAAGTCAGACAGAGAGAGACAAGCCGGTGTGATGTCATTCATGGGCAAACTCTAAAACGAGGCCAATGTGTAGGAATTCGAGTAAATAGTGGCTGTCGGGGGGGGAGTGGACTGTAGGTTAAGAGAACCAGCTGGCAACAAGCAGTGAGCGTCACAAAGACCCAAGCGCAGTGAGGTGAACGCCGACAATACTGTGCCATGATCACCCCAGAGGCTGACGTTTAATCACCCCAATTACTCCAAGGAAGGAGAGTTACACCATGTGACAGAGGGTTCACTGTCAACCAGTCACATCTCAGATTGGCACGCCCTGCCCCACACCTTCAATTTATACAATGTTCTATGTCAACTGTCACCTCCCCACCACGTGCCAGCCAGCAGGGCACCCGCGAGCAGGCGGCGATGCCACCGCTTGGCAGGCAGCAGCCTGGGGCATCACAGTGTGGGCACATCTAGGGAAGCCGTTTCTGTGTGTTTTGTGACAACTGGCAGGTTCGGCCGCACACCCAGGACAGTGGGGTGCACACCATTCACCGCTGCTCCTCGCGACCTCCAGGAGGGCACAGCGTCCCGGTGCTGGTCTGGCCCATCAGACCCTCGGCTGGCAACAGAAGAAGTTGGGCCTGCAGCTCCCCACAATCCTCTCGTCCTCATGGCAGATCCGCCTGCATTTGCCCCGGCCCAGCCGGCAGGGCTGGCAGACCGCAATCTCACCTGCGGGAGGGGGAGTGGGAGCCACTGATGTGCCTCCCTGGGACTCCCCAGAGTGGGGGCAGGGTGGGGAGCCAAGGCCACATGACAGGAGGGATTGCCTCAGGGCGATGAGGGTTTCTCAGAGTTCTGCTCTTTTTCAGAATGGATGGGGGAGGTACTTTTTAAGCAAGAGGAGGCATCACCCCTTTGTAGCGCCAGCCAGGCAGGGCACGCTTTCTATGATCCGGGCAGATGGGTGAAGGAGTCCTGGAGCCCTCGGGGCTTTTTCAGGATTTTAATGACCTTTCGACACCATTTGTAGTGCGGCCACCAGGTGCCGGGCTGGAGGCTGGCGGGTCTCCTAGCCTCCCAGGAATCTTCACTGTCTCTGGGCTCTCTGGTCTCTCCGCTGGTCTCTGCTGCCCCCTTACATGCTCCTTGTCTCGGCTCAGCTGTGCCCACTCACACAGGCCCACATCACACGAGCATGTAAGACCACTGGTGTCAATCATTCATGCTAACGGCAGGCGCAGGGGAGGGTGGAAAAAACCTGATCACTCCCGTTTACTCCACACCCTTGTTCTCAAGCTGCCCCGGGCCAGGCAGGCCGTAGGTTCAGGCAGCTTATAGGAGAACCTTGGCGCCCTCGGCATCACCCCCACAGGTTTTCCAGCAGGTGCAGCAGAAGATGGCGCAGCAGAGGGCAGCTAGGAGAGGAAAGAGTGTAGGGGTTCAAGGGGAGGGGGCAAGTGGCTGTCTCCCTGCAGGCTTGTGCCCCTGCGGACTGCCACCTTGATCTTTCTCAGGCCTCCTGCCTAAACATGCATCTACCACCCGGGAATCCTGCCCTTGCGTCAGTGTCCACGGGCGCTCGCCCTCTGCGTGAGGCCTCGAGAAAGACCGGTGGGTTATTTGCTAAATGGCTCTTCTGGAACAGCACTGCGTTCCCCCTGCCCTGTCCTCGCCCTGCGCCTGATCTTCCTTGGGCCGATGGCCTGCCTCCGGGACACGCTCCCTGCGCTTGGAAGCAGAGCCTGGAAGAGCCCGTAGACCCGGCCTCCGGCCTACGCCAGCACCCCAGGCTCAGGAGAGCCCAGCCCGCGCCCGGCGCTCTGTGCCCAAACTGGCCGGCCAAGAGCGAAGCGATTTCTCTGTGGAATGAAAAATCCAAACAGGATGCTGGGAACAGAGGCGAGGGGACGAGGGCCGGCGAGGAGGGACGGGGACGAGGGCCGGCAAGGAGGGACGCCGGGACGCTGTGCTTGCGCTACCGCTTTCCTTGGCTCCAGAAATCAGGCAGCTGACATGCAAGCTCCTGGGGGTACAACTATACCCGGGAGACTGAACTTACCTGCTGGAAATGGCTGCACATACTCAAGGCCTGCCCAGCACCCTAAATTCAAAACAAAGCACATTTTGTAAATGGAAATGACTGAATAGCCTGAATAACTGCGCACAGACTCTGCACGAACAGCACCAGTCAAGAGGCGGCAGAGCCCAGAGGCCGCGTCTTTACTGTCTCCAAGGCCAGCACTTGGCTAACCAGTGAGATTTAATTTTTAAAAGAAAGAATAGCAGTTTTCTTATGGAAAAGGCCCAGGCGGGTTTAGGAAATCCCTGTGGGAAGTTCAGGGGAGCTGACAGCCCCCTGTTCAGGGTGGCTGGTGTACGAACCCCGAGCCCCGGGTCCTGCCCCGTCGAAGTCCCGTCCAGCTCCATTTACCTGATGGAAACTGAGCCCAAATGCAGAGAGCCGTAAAGACAAAATAAAACACCTTCCTGCTCGGGGCCATCTCCCGGGGAGGCCTGTTCAGAGCAGGTTTGAGATTTCTTGGCAAGGATGAGAGGGTCATTTATATTCAAAAGTTAGGAGATTTGCTCTTGCTCAGTGAAGTGGAGCAATAAGGAACAGGCATTTCTACGCTCCACTTCCCGGGATCAAGGGCTGGCCTGATGGGCGCTGCCCTCGGCCCCCACAGAGCGGACCTGCTGGGGCAGAACAAAAGCCTCACCGGCCTGCACCCCGCCCCTCGCCCAGCCCCACTGCTCTCATCCATCACCCCACCGCCACCGGCCTCCAGATGGCTGTCGAGCCAGAGTGGTGGGAGGTTGAGTGTTCTGAGGACAGGAGGCCCCCAGGAGGGGCATGGCCCCCCCACACAGAGCGCAGCACGTGGCTGGCTCCTGTGTCCTCGCTGTCCTGGCAGGCGCCAGTTCTTTACTAGCCCCATAAACACCACGCGGAGGACGAGGTCGCAGCCACTTTGCTGAGCAGGTGCTGAGTCCCCGCAGCTCACAACCAGAGTCACGGTGGCCCCTCCCTTCCGTCCTTGAGAACGGGGGTCTCCAAGGTAGCACTCGTGGGTGCACCCAGGGGAGCCACCCACTGCCTCCCCGGCTGCCAGTCCCTTCTTCGCTTTGGGAATGAAAAGGGGATCGTGGACTCTGAAGTCAGCGTGAATTAACTAGTAAACGACCCAGGCAGGCCGCTGACCCTGAACCTTGCCCCACCCCCACCCCCGCATCCTCAGTGTGGGTGGGGTGGCTGGATAAACTTCCTAAGGGAACGGGGTAACAGAAAGGACGGGGACAGCACGCGAAGGGGGCCGCCCGCCGTGTCCAGGCCGTCCTCTGCACCAGCACTGAGTCCCTGTTCCTGCGAGCCCTTTCCAAGGCCACCCCACGCTGGCTCTGGTGGGGTAACGCCACTGACACTCGTGTGTGTGTGTGTGTGTGTGTGTGTGTGTTTCCCAATTGCAAACAGGTCAGCTCAGGAGCCCAAGTTAGTTTGGACACCATTGGGGACAGAGCGGAGCCTGATGACTTCCTAGGTTTTTAGGATCACCGGGAGCCCTACTGGCTTTGTGGGGTGGTGAGGACAGTCTTGGGGTTCCATGCTCTGCGGTCACTGAAATTTTACCTTTGAACAGGCTATAAATAAAGTCTGGGGGGATGATGCTGGAGCTCCTGTCCACAGGTGCCCTGGTGGATGCACCTGCTCTCGCCACAGAGAGGTGGTCGGGGGGGGACACTCCTTCAGCTTTGCACACCCCACACTCTGCTCCCAGAGTCAGCTGGCCACTCTGAGGGCTCTGCAGGACACTCCCAGCTACCATCTGAAAGCTTGTGACCATGGGCAAAATCCCCACATTGAGATCCTAACCCGCAAGGCTCTAGTTAGGTGGTGGGGCCCCTGGGGGGTGAGTAAGTAGGTCATGAGGGTGTGGGCCTTTGATGGGATTAGAGGTCCCGCCCCACCAGAGGAGGACACATGGCTGAACACCCTCTGCCACCAGAAAAGCGTTCTCAGCAGAACATGCTGTGGGGCGCCCCACCTGCCCCCCCCTCTGGCACAGGAGCAGTGAACTCCTGTGTCAGCTGCGGAGGGGGCACTTTGTCATAGCAGCCTGAGGACTGGCGGCATCCAGGTGTTTCAGAGGCCCCACGAGGAGGGCCTTGGGTTTGCAGCCCTCAGTGGCCGGCAGGCCAAACCCGCCTGGTCTGAGGCAAAGAGGGCCCAAGGGAGGGGAGTATGAGGGATGAGGCCCCCATACCTGAAAACACCTGGAGTTTGTCTCCTCTTGTGAATTTAAGTCTTTTTAAGTCAGGGTTGGAAAGGAATCGAGAACATACATATTTTCTATCTTTTATCCTTAAATGGATTATTCATAATATATCATTAACAATCAGCCCTCAGAAAAACATCACGGTCCCCAGAGCTGAGGACAGACCAGCTATCCCTAGTGGTTCTCTCAATAAGGTTTTACTTTGGGAGAAACCCCACCGACTGGGAGAACATTTTTGCACACAACACTAATGATAAAGGACTGATCACAAAAATCTACAGAGTGCAGGGGACCAGCCTCCGGCAAAATGTCGTGTCAGGGGTTCCTGAAAGGATGAGTCGGCGTCGGTGAAAACGAAAGGGCTGAGGGGAAGGGGACGAGGTAGAATGAGGAGACACTGACACTTGGTGAGGTGCTGGTATCTTCTGCCGAGAGACTCGGCAGGTCTTTATTTATTCATTTTTAGTAAGCAAAAAAAAAAAAAAAAAATACATTGTCATGTGTAAAGCAGAAACAATTAGTGTATTATGTTCCCATGGACTACTGGCTCCTACAGGTCCCAGCTAGATGGTAGCCTTCAAGGTTAATAGATAAAAAACCACACCTAACACTAAAACTTATGATTTCAGCGAGACAGTCACCTAGGACAGTGGAGAGCCGCCAGTGCATCCCCATCAGCTAAAGCTTAAGCATCAAAAGACTCTTCTACTCACATGGCCTTCAGCTAGAGACCAGCTGCTGCTCAGCTATCAGAACTTTTTCTACCTACAAACTTCTTAACACAGTCAACTTCATTTTAAAAATTTCCTAAGAAACTTCTAGAGAAAACAAAAAAGAAGGACCTACTATTGTTGTATTGCAATGCTTGTCAGGCATGCTCAATAAGTTGTCTCCCATTGTCAAGTGGGCCAATTTGTTTAATAATTAGTTTCTAACAGATAATTTTCCATGCCATTTATTTGCAGTATACTGATGCCTATAATGTAGTGCCTAATGTACTTTTTGGGAAATTTTTCTCTTTTTATGACCAAGAACAAAAAGTGAAGGAATGTTAGATCTTCAGCTCCACGGTGTGAGGCCCTTTACCTTCGCTGCTTGCCAGTGTCTTATCTGGCTGGGGCATCAAGGCCTCCTGCAGCAAAAGAGCTGATGAAAATCAACAAAAACAAAGAAAATAATCCAGTCAAAAAATGGGCAGAAGAGCTAAAAAGAAACTTCTTTGAAGAGGAAATGCAAATGGCCAACAGGCATATGAAAAAATGTTCAGCATCACTTGTCATCAGGGAAATGCAAATCAAAACTACCATGAGATACCATCTTACACCAGTGAGAATGGCACATATTAAAAAAACTAGCAACAACAAATGTTGGCGAGGATGTGGAGAAAAAGGAACTCTCCTGCACTGCTGGTGGGAGTGCAAACTGGTCCAACCACTATGGAGAGCTGTGTGGAGGCTCCTCAATCTGCTAAAGATGGAGCTTCCATATGATCCAGCAATTCCACTCCTAGGTATTTACCCAAAGGACACAGAAACATTAATTCCAAAGAGCACCTGTGCCCCTATGTTTATAGCAGCACTGTTTACAGTAGCTAAGCTTTGGAAACAACCCAAATGCCCCAAAATAGATGACTGCATCAAGAAGATGTGGTCCATATACACCATGGAATATTACTCAGCAGTCAAAAAAGATAAACACATGCAATTTGCAGCAACATGGATGGCGCTGGAAGGGATCATGCTCAGCGAAATAAGCCAGAAAGAAAAAGAAAAATACCGGATGGTCTCACTCATAGCAGGAATCTAGAAAACCTAAATAAGGGGCCAGGAGAAAGAATAACTATAAGAAAGTGAAAATCAAAATCAACAAACAACTATGAACCAGAGACACTCTATGGGGGGTGGGGGGTGGGAAAAGGAGGTATTGGGGTCAAAATAAGGGGGTTGCAATTGTATGGGGAATATAAAAATAAAATTTAAATTAAAAAAAATAAGGTTTTACTTTGGAATAATTTTAGATACTGAAAAATTGCAATGATAGCTCCTCCCAGCTACCCCAACGTTAACATCCGTGTTAGCAATTATTAATATTAATACCCATGGTGCATTTGTCAAAACCGAGGAATTAACGCTGCAGTTTGCTGAGTCACAGAATGCAAGCCTGTCTGATGTTTTCCCGGGAGTGGACTGGCTGATGTCCTCACCCCACCCCTCACATCAGGGATACATGGAGTTGACCTTGGCCACTTGGTTAAGGTGCTGTCTGCCCGTGTCCCCACCCTAAAGGGCTGTCCCTCCACATTCTGTTCTGTCCCCTTTGGGGGGATTGGCTCCACTTCCTGCAGAGGGGAGGAGATATCTCTATACCATTGGGATTCTGCTAAAAAGCCCATCCAGTGTTTTTAAGTATCCAGTCATTTATGGACCTCGGAGGGCTGAGGCGCCGTGTGGCTGGTCTCATCTAGATCACAGTGAAAGCCGAGTCAATCACGGAAACAATCTGTTGTTTTTCCAGGGGTTCGGGTTATTTTAACAAATGTATCTCAGTATTTCAACTTTTAGGAGCAGTAACAATACTGGGGTGACAAGGAGGTACGCTTATCTCCCTAATTTCATGTACACTTAAAGAGAGGCACCCCACCCCTCAAGCGGAGAGAATTAAAGTGAGGATTCGGGTCTTTCTCTCCACCTGCTTAACTGATTTGCTCCCCCAGAGTGGGGACCTGCGATGCCTGGAATGCTTTATATCTTGGAGAGGAATATCACACTGTTGACGTCACTGTTCATTTAAGATTGCTAAGAATGTTTAGATTTTTGACACAAATTTTAACAATGAAAAGAGCATGCACACACAGAAGTCTTAATTTAATAGCGAATAAGTCCACGTCTCTGGGGGCTGCAGCTTGAGGATAAACGAGGTGAGGTCGCAGCTCTGGGGTACAAGCCTGCGGGGAGAGCCGGGGTCTCAGGTCCCCAGCGGCAGGCCTGGGCCCCCACAGCTGGCCAAGCTGCAGCTCCTGGACGCTGCCTGGGATGCAGACGCCACCTGACGCCAGCGCTCTGTCCCCGCTGTGAGCCCGGGGTCACTGTGTGTTTATTCTCATTCTACAGGTGAGTGAACAGGCGCTGCTCAGGTGCGGAGGAGGAAAAGCAAACCCGCCAGGTGCCAGCCCTTTCATGTGCCGGCCAGGGTATGTGCACTTGGCCACCACAGGTGCCCTCCTCTGTCTTCCCTTCAACCCACTTTCCTTCTTGGGAACTTTCCAGAATGAGAGAAAATGAGCTGCAGAGACAGCAGGCCCTGGGGCCTTGGCCCGCGCATTGGAGGTGGAAACCCCTTTGGGTGTGCCTCAGAGATCAAGGCGTCCGGCTGCGAGGAGCATAAATGGGGGATCCTGCCCCGCCTGCCAGGGTGCTCCCGAACCCCCAGGCATGCGGACCTGCCTCGTCCTCTGCGCTCTGCTCGCCGTCCTGGCCCCAGGTAAGGCCGCACACCTGCAGGGCGGCTCGGGCGGGCCTCCTGGGGCTGGGGGTCTGGGTGGCGCCCCCGGTCTCCGGGTGTCCTCTGTGTGGTCACCATCACCTCGGTGGGTGTCAGAGGCTTGGGGAGTAGAAACTTGCGGGGGGTGGGGGGGGCGCCTCCTAGGCCTGGCCTCCTGTGCGCCAGCAAGAGCAAACATTTGGGGAGAAAATTTGACCCAGGGCAGCAGCCTGTGACCTTGGGGGAAATCGTTGTGGCAGAGACGGAGGCGCATGGAGAGAAGGGAGGGGGGCAGGGGAGCCGAGACCCCCGTGGCTTGTGCCAGCCGGCACTGTGCCAGACAGCAGCCCCCCGCGTGACACCCCGCCGGCTGGGGGCCGGGCAGTCCCCCCGCGGAGGCTGGGGTGCGGCCCTGCGCCGTCAGTCCCACGGGCACTCAGCTGGGGGCGGGGCCGTCCCTCCCGGCGCCCATGGGTGCGCCCAGTGGGCCGAAGCCGTCTTGTGTGGCCGTGGACGCGGCTGGTTCCCGGGCGGGTTACAGCCCTTTGACAGCTGCGAGCCCGAGGCAGCGGCCGGGCCCAGGGACGCAGGCGCACCCCCCACCCCCGTCCCCCCCGGGGCTCAGGGTGAAACCGAGACCCTCGCGGGTTCCGAGAACCGGAGGCCGGGCTTTCCAGAACCCACAGTCCACGTTCGCGCCGGAGGCCAGTGCGCGCTCCTTTAAATGCCCCCACCGCGCGCTGGACTCCGGGCCTGCGGCTCCCGGGCCTGGTCTCCGCGGCACCCCCGGGGCTGCCGGACCCCAGCGCTCGCCTCCAGGCGCCCCTGAAGGAGGGGGGCCGGAGACGCCCGCCAAGGAGAGAGCGCCCCCCTTTCTCGGGGTTTGCCTGATCTGCCCTCTGCCTTCGGCCCCAGGGCGGTCAGCGCAGGGTCTGGTCCCCCGAGGCCTGGCTGCTGCTCCTGCGCTCTCCTGCGCTCTGGGCAGGGGGGTGGGGGAGAGAGAGGGAGCGAGAGAGGAGAAACTCCAGCCCTCGCCTCCCCCAGGGCGCAGGGCAGGCGCCAGCTCCCCTCGATGACCCTCCGCCCCAGGCCAAGCCCCGAAGGCCCCTGACCCGCGCTTCCCTCCAGCCAGGGCTGCGTTTCTCGACGAGAAGTGTCTCCGGTACCGGGGCCGGTGCGTCAGCTCCTGCCTGAAGTCCGAGGAGCTGGTGGCTCTGTGCCATCGCGCGCTCAAGTGCTGCGTGCACGTGGAGCAGTGCCAGAACGCGCTCATCCCGCCGCTGCCCACCTGAGGCCGCCGGGCCCCGCAGCAGAGCCGGCGCGGCCTCACCTGTGGGTCAGGTGCGTCCTTACAGTGGCGCGCCCCGGCCTCCTGGCTTATTTTTCCGTAAATTTTTTGGGACGGATCATTGTCCCAAAGGCATCTGGTATTTCTTCTTACTGGAAGGCTGCGCATCAATAAATCTCTAACTTTTTCTCAGGCAGTGAGCCCCAGCCAACCTGTTCAGGTAGATAAATAGATGAGGAATGGATAGCAAAATTAACATATATGTAATGGTTACATTAATAGTGAACGGGTAGAGAGAAAGTCTATTGCAGACTTTCATGGAGATAAATAGATGAATCCGTTTATCAAGAGCACACTTCAGTGATTTGATTATTAGTCATTTTGACTCCACGCCTTTACTGGAGACAGTTAAATGCTTCTGGTGGATTTCCCCCATCCACAAATCTGGAATCAAATGTACTAGTTGGAAGAGGGGTGGTAAATAGTTGCCAGTAGCTTCGTGCCCAAACTGACTTTACTACTTTCCAGGAAACTGCTCTATGCCTTCGTGTTACCTCCTAAAGCCTCACTTTATACCTCCTTAAATCCTCAAGGTCAATATATTTAATCCTTTTGGAATCAATGACCCTTTTTTGACATTTTTCTGTTCTGAGATAATTGTAGGGTCACATACAGTTGGGGGACATCTGTACCTTTGACCCAACTTCCCCCGGCCACATCTTGCAAATGTGCTGTGCAGTATCACAGCCAGGAGCTGGCTCACACAGAGCCTGGTCTTCACCACAAAGACCTCACATTCTGCACCTTCCCAGGGCCCCCAAAGCAACTGCCTGGCACTGAAGAGAAAAAAACATTTGAAAGACTGGCTGGAAACACAGGGACCATCTTCCCCAAGCAGCTGGGCCCCAGCTTGCACGCAGACAGCTGCTTGGTGTTTGCAAAAGGCCCCGCAAGCCTGGTCCAGCTCTTTGCAATTTACGTATCGAGGCAAATGAACATCTTTATTCACATTCTTATGAATATGCTTCAAGTCTTCTCCACAAATATCCAAATATAGCCACAAAAATTCAAAATATTTTAAACTCTCCTTGAGCTGATAACCTCAACTTGTTCCACCTGTGGAGACACAATTCAGAGTCAACAATTTTTATGGGTAGTGAGCTTGGCGTTGCTGTTTTACTGATTTATGGCTAAAGTTTTAAAATAAAGTTGTAATATCTCTGGCTATGTGTTTATGTATGTTATATATGTGTGTTATTTTTATACCTCTGGACTGTAGAAATCAGTTTACAAAATCCCTTTAAGAGTTCTGCTTTCATTGGCTTAGAGAAAAACAAATGCTTATATAAAGTAAATATTCCTAAAATATAGACTGTATTCTAGAAATAAAGAAATTAGCTGAATTGCTTTTCAAGTTCATGTGAGTTGAGTAAATCTTTAGTAAATAAGATTAATTTAATCTTGTTGGTTTAGTTTTTAAAAATCCCATGTCTTCTGGTTACCAGCATTAAATATCATATGAGCTCAGATTTTATTCCATTTGGGCTTATTAGTCATGTAGTAGGAAAATGGATTCAGATGGTGGCTACTTTGTTTAGTCTTATAAAGTTTTCATGAACATCCAAATATAATTATTAAAATCAGCACATTAAGTGAATGTGAGTGGAATAAAGTCTATACATGAATTTTTTGACAATACATTTTATAATATGCCTAAAAATAATATCTAAAATCTTTTTTGGAACCTTAAAGTTATGCTTTACTAAATGAAGTAATAGATATTGATTTAATATCTTGATAATTTCTAAATGAGATAAGCTCTGGAAACCTTCTTTGCTAAGCCTGAGTTTAATTATTTTTTGCTTCTTATTTTTATACAGTAGAGAGAGAATAAATAAATCTGGGTCTGCTAATGAACACATTTCTTTGCCATCTGAAAAGTGGTAGTTAGTTTTTGTTTTATTCTGATTCTTCTTTAAAAATGTTTGCAGCCAGCTGCAAGCCTAAACGCTTTGTGATGGTGTTTGCTTGAATAACTCGGGGATGATATAATTGGATTAAGGATTTTTAGAACAAGAATTAATTATATGTGACTGAATGAATTCATGAAGACTAATTCATTAATTGATGTGTGGTTATTGTTTTAGAACATGTAGGTTCATCAATGTTCTATTTTCTAGATATAAAAAAACCCTTTCTCAAGTTACTTATAACAATTTTGTAGATTATGCTTTTGTAAACAAAAATGAGGCTTATTCCTCTCTCCCTCCCTCCCTTCCTTTGAAATGATTACTTTTTCTTTCAATAGCAATATAATTATTTGCAAAGTTTAATGGAAATCTTTTCTCCTTGTAACGAGACACACTTTGAGCTCTTGGTTATGGTACCACGGTGCTGGCTAGACTCAGGCCGGGGCAGGCCGGGTCTCCTACTCCAGGCTTCTTCCTCGCGGCCGTCCATCCCCGGAGCCCTGTGGTCCTGACACGTGGCTGTATGTCCTGGACTTTTTCTCTCCTGCTGTGTTTGGGTTCTCCTAAAAAAAAAAAAAAAAAAAAAAAAAAAAAAAAAACCCAAAACTCTTTCCTTTTTCTCTTTCCTCCCACAAAGGAGACACTGGATTTCTTTCCGGCTCTGCCCCCTGCGTATGGATTCGCTGTGTTTGTCCAGGGCCAGCTGCTCTCTGTTGGCCCAGAAGCTGTCAGGCAGCCTCAGGCCGCGGGTTGAATGTACCTGCCCTGCCTGAGCTGCTAGTGCACCGGCTCTGGCCTGTCTGCTCTGAGGGGACAGCGTGCACTGAGCCACTCCCTGCCGGGGGCTGCCAGTTAGCCTGGGGTGCAGATGCACCCAGAGCCTGCCCACACCAGCCCTGGGGTCCCTGCTGCATCCCTCCCACCCCACCCCACCTTTTCACACGCAGCAGCCTGGTCACCTCTCCGGGCCCAGGGCTGCGTCCCTGTCCATCCTTCAGAAGCATTTCTCTCGCAGTAACTCTTTTCCTTCTTTCCCTTTTTGGATCTCTGCCCCTGGAGCCACCGTCGTCCACACCTGCGGGCTTTGTGTTGCAGAAGTGTGCTGAGACCCCTTGCCCTCGGGACCTCCCCTCGCCCCACCCCACGCCGCCCTTCCCCTGGACCTCACGTGTACTGATGTCAGGGGGCCCTGGAGGGACGGACTCGAGCCCCGTAGCCTGTGCCTCTGTTCAAGCACGAAGCTCCAGATCGAAGTGTCCTCGGGCGGTAACGCTCGTCGAACGGAAGGGAAGCGAGAGGCTCCTGGCCCGCGGCAGGGACTGTCCAGGCGGCCATCTCGTCCGGTCTTTGTTCCAGGTGGGGAAGCACACGGGTGACACCCACAAGACCGCAGCCCCCCAGCAGGGCCCCGCCCGGAGTCCCTCCTGCCTCAGGCGGCCTGGCGAGCTCCCAGTGGCTGTGGGCCTCCCGTGCTCCAGCGGCCAGCCACGGCCCTGCCCATAAATGCAGCGGGCCCTCCTGCCTGCTCCTGCTTCTCTCCAGCAGCCCTTGGCCATGGAGACCCTGGTCCTGCTCTTCGGCATCCTTCTGCTCCACCAGGCTCCCCCAGGTGAGAAGAGGCGCTCAAACAGAAGTGCGCACCGCTCAGGGGCCACAGGTGGTGGAGACTGAGTCGGAGCCAGCACCCTCGGCCCAGGCAGCCGCAGTCCCAGCCTCTGGTCTCGGCCTCACGGCCCTCCTGGCTCAGGCCCCACAGCTCAGACAGCAAGAGCATCCACAGAGCGGCTCGGTCATCACTGCCCATTTTGTGGGGGGAGCTGCCTTCTCCCCGCCCTGGACGGCCCCACCTGCCTCCCTCTGACTCGTGCAGAAGGGGGCCCCGCGCCACGCTGCCAACAGGAGCAGGGCTGGAGGGTGCCAGTGAAGGAGAAGGGTTTTGATTACACAAGTAGTGGGTGCTCTTGGGCTCCTCTGGGGAAACCGTGAAGTCAGGCCCGCGCCCCTGGCACTGTGCCCACGCGCTGGAGGCGTGTGCTGTCAGGCGTGGAGTGACCGTGAGACGATGGCCGGGTCTCCGGTGCAGCTGTGTCAGCCTGTGCTCTCAGCCCCAGAGCCCCCGGACTGCAGGGCCCCGGCTCCAAACAGGCGAGACTGGCCTCTGTGTGCCAGCCTCCGGCTCGCTCGGTGTCTCGGCTCAGGCCTCTCTTTGGGGCCTGGCGGATCTCAGGACTTGCCCGGGTGGGCAGCAGACGGAGGACACCCCGTGAGGAGCCCCTTCTACATCCCACCGCATCCGGGGGCTTCTCTTCACCAGGAAAGGGAAACTGGAGCCTGGCCAGGGGCGACTCTCTGCCCCTTCAGCTGGTGGGAAAGGAGCCTGCAGGGGCAGGGGAGGGATGGGGCACGGGGAGTGGAGCTCTGGGAGACAGGCCCTGCCCCGCTGCTGGATTGCGTGGCCTGCAGCCCCAGCTCCAGGCTGCCCAGCTTTTCCTCAGCACCTGCCCGGCACCTGTGAGGGGAAGCACACGTCACCCTCCCCTAGGCAGTGAGCACCCAGCTGCAAGCCTGACGACTGAGAAGACCCGGCCTGCGGGAGCGGAAACGCACAGGGAGGGCCACAGCGGGGCACTCACCAGGGGGCTCTGGCGCTGGCCGCTGGGCGGGCTGGGCCTGCTGGGGGGTTGCAGAGGTCACTGATGGCAGAGCCCTGTGAGGGTGAGGCAGGGGGCGCTGGGGGAAGGGGTGGAGAGGGGTGGAGGAGCAAGGTTGGGGGAGCAGCAGCGGGGGAGCCGTCAGGTCTGGGACTAGAGCGCCCCAGCTTTGTGGACCCAAGTGGCGCAGCAGGACTTGCTGCAAAGGGAACAGCAAACCGTTGCAAGGATTTTAAAAATCGGTGTTTTGCGAACCAATTTATATTTAAGAAAGCTCTGGGGTTGGGGGGTCCGCATGGGCACGGAGGGGGCGCGGCTGGGGAGTTCCGCCAGGACGCCCCACCTTCTCTACAGTCACGTTCGCCACCAGCACCTCTGTTCCCCCAAACCCTGCCGCAAGGCCCTGCGCCCGGGTCCTCAGGCCGAGGGTCACTCGGGTCCTCGTCCCTCAGCGCGCGGCGACCTGGACGCCAACAGGATCTGCGGCTTCGGGACGGCGCGCTGCCGGCCGGCCTGCGGTGGCGCGGAGTTCAGGATCGGCAAGTGCCCCAACAGCCACCCCTGCTGCCTGCAGCGCTGGAGCGACAGCCCGCTGACCCCCTGACTCGGGCGCCCAGCCTGGGCCTCTCCGCCAGCCCCGTTCCCGGGCGCCCCAGCAGCGGCGGCGGGTCTGCGGGGCGGCCCGGGGGAGACCAGCGCGGTGGGGGAGGCATCCCTGGTCCACCGCCTGTGCCCCAGGACAGCCCCACACCCCGAGGACAGCCCCGCGCCCCAGGACAGCCCCCGCCCCAGGACAGCCCCGCTCCCTGAGGACAGCCCTGCGCCCCAGGACAGCCCCGCGCCCCAGGACAGCCCCACGCCCCAGGACAGCCCCATGCCCCGAGGACAGCCCTGCACCCTGAGGACAGCTCTGTGCCCCAGGACAGCCCTGCGCCCCAGGACAGCCCCGCACCCCAGGACAGCCCCGCACCCCAGGACAGCCCCGTGCCCCAGGACAGCCCCGCGCCCCAGGACAGCCCTGCGCCCCGAGGACAGCCCCGCACCCCAGGACAGCCCCGTGCCCCAGGACAGCCCCGCGCCCCAGGACAGCCCTGTGCCCCGAGGACAGCCCCGCGCCCCGAGGACAGCCCCGGGCCCCAGGACAGCCCCGCACCCCAGGACAGCCCTGCGCCCCGGGCCTGGCGAGGCAAACAACCCCCAGCTAATGGGCCTGGTCTGCAGGGACTCCCCTCCCCCCATTATATCGATTGATCTGGATACCTTGGTTTTATTTCTGACCAGAAGCGCCGCACAACGTCCTGTCAGTCAAGTTGACTAAAACTGACCATAAATCACCATGAAAGGCGGCGCACAGCACCCCCTGGAATTCAAATCAAAACGCGCGGGAAACCACCGCTGCTCCCGGGAGGGCGCGGGGCGGGGGCAGCCGAGAGCGGCGGCCCACTGGGCCCAGCCTGGCCGAACCCGCGTGGGAGGCCCTGGGGTGGCTGGGCAGGGGGAGGGGCTCTGCAAACCCCCTGCCCCCGCAGGGTGGTCAGGACCAGAGATCTAGTTCGTCAACAGAGATGTGAGAACCGCTTGCGGGGGACCCCAGGTTCTGCCTGCTCTCCCGGGGACCCCCCACTTCCGCCGGGCGTGGGATCTGAAATGCGCCCGTGCAGTTCGCAGGTCGCCGTGGGCTGCGGTCACCAAGTGTTTCTGCAGCGCTTGGGTTTCCCAGCATTTTCGCGTGGAAACACTTGCCAAGTTTTTGACATTTTATGCAAAAAAACTAAAAACAACTTGTATCTTATTTCCTTTTTATTTTTGTCTTAAACCCTATTTATGCAAATTTCATAGCCAAAAAATTTCCTGGATCAGATACGTGAAGTAACTGCGGGAGAATGAGCAAAATTTCCTTTAGAGTTTAAATGAGAGCAACTTTCTACTTCCCTTCTGGACCCTCCACTTTCCCTCAGCACCCCTGTCAGCACCCCTGTCAGCACCCCTGTAGCACCACTCATCAGCCACCCCACACCCGGGCGCCGCCTCCTGGCTCTGCTGAGCCCCTGAGGACCTCTTGGAATCAGGAGAGTCCCTGATGCCTAAAATAAGATGTGAATGACCCTGTGCCAGCTACCAAGTGCCCCTGCTCCCTGGCATCACCGGCCACATCACCTACAGAGCAGGGACTGCCAGGGTCTGGGGACCCCTCTGGGTAGTACCCCTCTGGGGTACTCCACACGGTGCCCAGGACTGAGCTGGTGTTGCCTCTCTGCCTGCCTCGCCTGCCTCCAGGGCGCGTGCCAGCATTCCCACTGACACGAGCGATCGAAGACCTTCTCTGCCTGGACCAAAACGTGCGTGTGAGAGAGAGAAGGCAAAGCCTCGACTTCCCAGAGTTGTGCACATCACGCAGGCGGCAGGTTTCAGCTTGCAGAGCTTCTGGCTAAAGCCCAGGGCTGGTTTCTTGGGCCTGGGCACCTGCGGCGGCACAGCAAAATAAAACCTCAGCCTGAGAGAAAGAGAAGGTGCAGGTCAAGGGGGAGGGGCCTGGGCTGAGTTACCCCAAGACAAACCCAGACCCCGTAGCAGAATTGTCCATGTGGGCATGGATTGGACACAACGCTGGCAATAGATGGGCTTTGGGGACAAGAGAATGGAACAGAATAGAATGACCAGGCCAGGCCAGGCCAGACTAGAATAGACCAGAATGAATAGAAGGACCAGGACAGGACAGGGGAGAAAGATGAAGAAGACTCCGATGAGCCAAAACAAAAAGCAGGAAGGTATAAAGAGACGAAGACACGGAGGAGAAGGCCAGGAAGGGGGGACACTCAGGGGAGCAGGGCCAGGCACGAAGACGGAGCGAGAGGGGCTCCCTGCACCAGTTCTGGAAATCAGGTGAGATCTGAAATGTTTCCTGCTTTTCAGCTTGATTTTTCACACTAAAATAAATATTTTCAGGAGGCAGAGGAGACGCAGGTAGCGCTGTGTTAACCCCCATCTCAACAAAGGGTGCAGCGGGGCAGGGGCGGGTGACCCCAGTAAAGGACAAGCTTACTTCTCCCTCCTCTGTGCCGGCTCTCTTCTCCACCAAGCCCTCCCACGGCCTCTGGGCATGGCACTTACTTCTGAGGAAAATGGCTCAATGTTCCATAGCAGTGGGAGACACAGATGAGCAGGGAACATTCCAGAAGGCTTTCCCAACCCAGGCCCCTCCCCCGGCCCAGGGATAAAGGGGCCAGCCCCGCAGCCCACACTGCTGCCCCCCAGGCCCCTCAGCCGGACATGAAACGGCTCCTCCCGCTGACGGCCAGCCTGCTCCTCCTGGCCCTGCTCCTCCCAGGTAAAGCAGAAAGGGGGTGGTCGGCATGGGGGGGCAGGCTGGGCACTGAGGCTCTCCCCTGGGCAGTCTAAGTGAGGAGGGACCTTCAATTTGGATTCTCAGAAACCACGTAGGATGTCCTCGGGGATGCTGGGCTTGGCTGCCATGGGGCACTCACCATCCCGTCAGACTGACCACCAGCCCCTTCCTCCCGCCCAACTTCCCTGTTCCCCTTTGTCCACCCCCCCCGCCTTCCCCTCCCCCCCCGCCCCCAGGTGCACAGCTCAGTGCACCTGCATCGGCGAGTCTGGACAGACTCGAGCCAGGGCCGTCACCGCCCCATGCCCACGCCCGGGGTCAGGCACAGCCGGCGCCTCCCCAAGGGCCCTGTGTCCCTCCGTGCTTTTCTTCTCTTGTGTCGGCTCTCCCGGCCCTCTCCCCTCCAGAGCTGCTGCTGGGTGTGAAGAGCCGCGGGTTTCCTCCCTCACAGGACCGTCCGGAGCACAGCATGCCGGCCGCCAGGGCAGCCCGGCTCCCGGGGCGCCATCCCCCGGACAAGGAGCACCCGGGTCTCGCTCGTCCAGCCACCGAGTGAGGCGCAACCTCGCCCCTCGCACGGCCCCCTTCCCGGTGAGTAGGCGGCTGCGCTCCAGCGGGACGCGTCCCTGTCAGCCCATGTCCAGTGGTGCGGGCGGGGGCCTCGCTCGGCCCCTCGGAAAGTCCCGGGGGTCGGCCCCTCCCCTAGGCCCCTTGCCCAGAGGCCTCGAGTGGGGGAGTGTGGAGACTCCCCGAGGCCAGGCCCATCCTGCCACTTCTGCAAGCCCCGACTTGCCCCAGAGCGGAGCCAGAGGCGAGGTGCTGACACCCCTCCGGCAGCTGTTCTGGGGCAGCTCTTCTGGGGCCTGCGTCTCCTCACGGGCAGTGACCGCCTGTGTGTGCCTGCGCTCCCCAGGGCGCTCGGCGGGCTTTGTGTGATGAGTAGAGAGGCAGACACCCCAGAGAGTCAGAGACCGGCCCCCCGCCTCGGCCTGCAGGGTCAGAGCCCTGAGTGAACGGGCCAGAGTTGGGGGAGAAGTTGAGAGGCACCTCCTGCTGGTCAGCTGCAGCGGGCACCCCAGCAGGTAAGGGCCACTTGGGAGGCTTCCCCATCTGGGGGTGAAAGGAGGGGTTGAGGCTGCTTTTGGGGATTCTGCATTTCTAGGGATTTGGGGGAGAATGCACACTTGTTCTGTGGTCCGGATCAGGGGCTCATCTGGGCGCTGCCGCGGGTCCCGTTGAAGAGGGACGGTCAGACGCCCCTGTCCCGTGCCTCGCTGTGCGCTCAGCTCTGTGGCGCCGTGAGAGTCACATCAGAGCACGGACGTGTGCATGAGTAACCTTGACAGTCAGTACCTCTTCTCAGTCGTTATCCTACGAGTCATCTTGTCATGAAAAATAGTTCTAATGACTGACAGCTCACTTTTCGGAGTGAAGGTGACTTTATATTTTTTAAAGATTTATTTATTATGCATACAAGAGCTGGGGCATAGGCCAGAGGTGCGGGGGTGAGAGGATTCACCAAGACAGAGTGGGGAGCAGAACGGGCGGATCTACTGAAATCCACTGCTGAGGGGGGCAGCGGGGGCACAGGAGAGGTCTGCTGCGCCGTGTGTGCCATGCAGTGTGGGTAGCTCCCTGGCCGGGATTGAACTCGGGCCATAGCGTGACAGCCTGAGACTAACTGCTGGGGCTCTAGGGGTGAGGGGGAGTTTAAAGTCGGCACCAAGGATCTGATTTTTATACTATCAAAATGGTTGATGGAGACATGAGAGATGACACATTTAAAATCCGGTTCTTAGCCAGTGTTCCCTCCACCATGCCCGTCAAGGCCAAAATGTCCATTTGGTCCATTTGAGAAGACAATGTCGGCTATTTCTCTATGCAGAACCCGAGCTGGATTACAAAGTCGTCAACTGCAGGAGAAGCGAAGGCCTGTGCCAGGAATACTGCAACTACCTGGAGACGCAGGTCGGCTACTGTCCGGGGTCCGGGGCCGCCTGCTGCGTGCACCTGTCCTGAGGCTGCTGCGCCCCTCCCTGCCCACCCCACCCAAGGCCTGGCTCTTGCAAAGAGCAGACACCTGTGCCAGGGGGTCTGAATGGCTGGTTGTTGAAAAGAAAAACACAAAACGCACAGGATGCGAGGTGACTCGGCTCAATGCGCATGAACCTTCCCCATCACACTGCGCTGGCTGGGAGGTGTGGGCGCAATAAACCCTCCCGGGAAAGCAGTCGAGTGATTTGTTCTTTTCTTTTAAAAACAGCTTTTGGGAGCCTGCTTTGTTCTAGGCACCAAGAAATGCGAAGCTGGGACCCGCGGGGATGTGGGGAGACAACATGTAAATCAGCAAAGACGAGATGACACGGCGTGTCTGACAAGGCAGGTCCGCCCCAGGCGCGGAGAAGATCGATGTAAGAGAAGTGAGGAAGGGGCCTGGGGGAGGAGCCGGGCTTTGGGGGGCGATTAGGGGTTTGTTAAGTGAGAGAGAGGTGGAGATGCCCGGGCGCGGGCCCAGGCCGAAGGCGTGGGGACACAAGACAGCGGTCGGCGGGGCGGCGGGGAGAAGCTCGGTCTAACTGCAGCGACAGGGACGAGTGGCCGGTGTCCGGGTGGTCGTGCAGGGTCCGCTTCGAGGCTCAAGTCACCTGTCAGCACTGCGTGCGGGGCTCGCGGCGCCGAGGCTGGAGCCCAGTGTTCTCTGGGAGTCTGTCCTCGATCTCAGGGGTCGCTGCAGTGACCGTGGGCGTCTGCGTGCGCCTGGGGTGCCAGGGCCTGCAGGGGAGGGGAGCCGTGGGGGCCGCCCCGCAGGGTGCGGGCTCCAGGCGTGCTGGGGGGAGACGGGTCACACATCAGGGCCGCTCAGCCGCCCGCCCAGCCCAGCCCCGGCCCGCGAGCGGGAAGCACGGCCGGCTCCCAGCCTGGGAGAAGCAGGCTCTCCTGTATACGAGACGTGAGATGCTCGCTTCGACGGCGCCGCGCCTCTTCCCAGAGCCCTGCCTCCTCGGGGGCTAGGAAGTCGCCCTCTGCAGGCGGGTGCTCCGTCACCACAGCCAGAAGCCCTGCCGTGCGCACTAGACTTGCGGGGAGCAGGCCTCCCGGGAAGCGCGCTTTCCACCATTTAAAAAAGGAAAAACTCCTCAGCAACTGACAAAACTACTTCTGAGAAAAATTTGGCACGGTACGTAAATATTCCTGCTAGCGCCGTCTCTCAGCAAGCCACGGCATGTCAGCTCAAAGGCTATCCCTAGCCCCCCGGGATACAGGCACAGCCGCTCATAAAACCCCAAGATCCATGAGATTACTTTACTTTTCAAGGCGGTTGTCTGCCTTACAAATTCCGGATACAAATTTTCACATGTTTGATATGAAAATTAATTTTGAAACATAGGTTCAAAAGCAAAAACTTGATTTTAGTTTTCAGTGACAAGACGCTGGGTGCTTCCTAATTATTTTATCTTCAAAATTACCCTGTCAGGTTGTCGCGTGACTGAAATTTTAGACATCTCTGGGGAAGACAGCCGGGTCGCCCCGGGGTCGGGGAAGGGCACACACGGGCCTCCCGCCCAGCTCCAGCCGTGCCAGGACAGAAGCCACAGGTGCCACCGTGATGGTTTATTCATCGACTGATGGACAGTCGGGTCACGTCCGCCCCTTGGGGCGTGGACTGTGACTGGCGTGTGCACAGGCTTCTGTTTGACCCCAAGGAGCACCTGCACCTTCTCACCAGCAGTGGAAGCTTCCAGAGCCTTCGTGTGCTTCCCCCATTTTGTTATAGTTGCTGCTGCCATTCTCAGGCCGTCCCGGGGCAGGTGACGTGGCTGTCTGGGGTTTCGGCCACATCTCCCTGAGCACAAATGGGCTGTGTCTCTGCAGGTGTCGTCTTTCTGCTTTGACTAGGGAGGCCTGCGGAAGTCATTTGCCCGTTTTAAAGGTGTGTTGGCTACCAGCTGCTGAGTTACAGCAGGCTTTCATTTAATACAGAAACACTTCACTGTGATCAGATGTTTGCCACCCACAGGTCCCTTCCGTCTTCCTGCTACTGTCTCCTGCCCACGGGACGAGGCAGACCAGAACAATTACTTTCTGTGTTGGGACAAATGGAGCTTTATTTGGCTCCTTTCAGCCCTGCAATTATGTGAAACTGCCGCCCTGTGACCAGCTGAGTGAGATGATCTGATGACCTTGATTTTTCAGCCCAGCTGCCTTGGGGACGGCAGACCCAATTGTCCAGAGTGTTTAAGACGTTCTTCCTTAGCAGTTATATTCTGAATCTTGACTTGGAAGTAGATTCACACGTGAAAGAAAAAGTGGGCAATAAGCCCTGATATAATCCATTCATATCTCCCTCAGTTTTCCAACAGAGTACCCCAAATTTCCAAAGTTTGCATGAAACAGTTTCTGGACTACAGCTTCACAACTATTTGAGTAGCGGCTATAGCGCTAGATAAAAACATCCCTTCTACCTCTATCTTAATTTCCTTCTAAATAAGGTCAATATGTGCAAGAACCGTCAGAGCCTAAAACACAACTTACCGCCTCACTGACCGAGGCCACATTTCTTTAAAATGTCCCATAGCTCAGGCCTCCCTGGGGGCGCAAGGGGTTAAGACACAGCCTATGAAGCTGTCCACAGCCTCTGCAGCACAAGTTCGATCCCCAGTCAGGGAGCTACCCACATGGTGCAGCAGACCTCTCCTGTCTCCCCGCCGCTCCCCTCAGCAGTGTGTTTCAGTCAGTCTGCCTGTTCTGCTCCCCACTCTGTCTCTGGTGAATCCTCTCACCCCCCCACACCTCTGGCCTGTACCCCAGCTCTTGCGTACATGAATAAATACATCTTTTTAAAAAAATGACCCACAGGTTTAGACATATACACGCTACAGTTTATGTCCAGCGGTAATCCCTGCATCTGCTAACTACACGCTCTCAGACCTCGGAGGTGCCTTCAGAATTGTAATCACTCTTTGGAACCCCTGACCTTAGAGGGTGACCTTGTGTGGAGACCAGTTTTCCCGAGGATGGAATCAACCTGCTTGTGCCTTTTATAAAACGGGAGATTTCAGACCAAATGCTCTGAGGAAAAAGAATTTCAAGTTTCAACAGATATTATTTACTCTTTGACCAACCACCGCACACCACGCACACCACACGCACACCACACACACACACACACACACACCCCACAGATGCAAAGTTAAGAAAACTTTGCTGGTGGGAGACAAAAGCCTGCCCACCCCTCCCAGGTGGACAATATCCTTTTAATATGTGGACTGGATTTGCCAGTTTTTTGAAAGTAATATGGCATCTAGCTTTCTCTTTGCTTCATTCAGCATGAGGCCTGGGGGCAGGGGCCGGGTCAGGGGCCTGGGGCTGGGCCCTGTGCTGGGGACACACCTGCCTGCACTGCGGCTTCGCTGCTGCTCCCAGCAGGGCGGGAGCTCGGGCTTCACTACTCGGCTGCAGCGCACAGTCTGGGTTGAGCCTCTTGAAGGAGGTGACCGTGAGCTGTGGGCTGTACATGGCTCTGCCTGGGGGTCTACACCGGCGGGACCCTTGCTGGGTCAGCCACTGTCCACAGGGCAGCTGGGGAGCAGGCGGGGCTGGGGCCTGTCCCAAGTGTCCGTCTTGCCTTGGCGGCAGGCGGGTCAGCGCTTCACCCCGCGGCCCCCTCCCCACCCCGTCTTCCACGCACGGCTACCCAGGGCTGCCTCTCTGGATTGCGCCAGGGCTATTTTCAGGCAGAGGAAGAGAGGGCCAGCCCCTGCTGCCCACAGCCTTACTCGGCAGACCAGAGGAACACGCGCCGTCCTGGTCTGGGCGCCCCACACCGCTAAGTGCCTGGCCCTGGCCCCGGGCTCCCCGCTGCGCCTCGATCTGCTCTTCTGCAAGGAGGCCGAGAGCCAGCGGCCTGGAATCATGCGGCTTCTCCTCCGGCCCCCTCTTCTCTTCTGTTTGCTGCAAATGAGCTCAGGTAATGGTCTCCCGGCCGTCCGGGGTCCCGCTGCTCCCGGGCAGGCTCGTGTGTTGTCTGGGGTGGGTGCCCCCTCTGGGGTTTCCCTCTGCACCCTTGTGATCTTCCCTATCAAGACCCAAGAGGCTTTTTTTTTTTTTTTTTTAAGTTAAATATCAGCGTCATAAGCCAAGACACAGAGGCGTCTGTTCTGATACCAGAGGGAGGAGCCCCGGGGTCTGGGGAAGCTGTCGGGGTCAGAGTCACAGCCGGGCACTGTGGGGGTCCCGGGAGGGGACTGAGCAGCCCCCTCGCCCATAGGCTCCCCCAGGAAGCTGTGGCCTTGATGCTCCAGCCTGAGGGTCAGGCCCTTGTGGGCTCGTTGGCCCCCCGGCCACAGCGCTGAGACGGCCCCCCTCCAGGCGAGAGCTCAGCCCCTCCAGACGAGAACTCAGCCGTCGCCAGCTGGGAACTGTCCCCACAGAAATCCCCAGTCACCAGCACAGGTAGAACCAGCACCAGCTCCCCCAGCCCCTCGAGCTGCTCCTGCTTCCATTGAGGCCTGCCTGGCTGCCTCAGAGGCCCTTGGGGAAGGGAGAGCCACCAGCCGCTTCTCAGACCTGGCGTTGGGGGGGTTGGTGCCTGGAGCCACAGGCCCAGCAACTCCATGCTCCGTGTTTGGGTTTCTCGGGTCCTGACGGGGCATCTGCAGACCCGGCTCGGCCTCCCCTCCCCGCCCTCCCACGTAGGAAGCACCCACCAGGGGCCACTCTCAGCCTGCCAGTCCCCGGGGGGAGGTTTCTCTTCCTTCTTTCACAGCCACCAGCTGGGAATCTGAACTATTTCCAGCTTTCCGGGACGAGACCCACCCTACAGAAGCATCCTGTTCCCCAAATTCCCCTCCTCCCAGTGCATCACCTCACATCTGTCACCAGGAAGCCCGAGGACCTGGTGTGACAAGGAAACACGTCCTCCTGCAGCCACCCAGGGGCAGACATTGTTCCCATTTTAAAGCTAAGACCCAAGTTCCATGCGCGTGGCCTGTGCTGTGCGGGTGCAGAGAGGGGCGCTGGGCTCCCTCGCCCCGTCCCGGGCCCACCGGCAGCTCTGTCCTGTCCCCTCCACAGGGGACGTGCCGCCTGGCATCAAGGACGACATCTGCCTCCTGCATCACGGGAACTGCCGGCTGTTTTTCTGCCACTCGGATGAGAAGAAGACTGAGATCTGCTCGGAGCCCTGGAACAGGAGCTGCGTGCCCCTCGGGGGCCGGAGGAGGACAGCAGCGAGCCAGAGGCCAGTGGTGCTGCCCAGGCCTGAGTGCCAGCTTCTGGGGGCAGGAGACGTGGGCCGGGGGCACGGGCGGCACACTCAGTCCTCAATACATTCACTGGGTGAGCCCAGCCCCGGGGAGCCTGCTGCTTTCTGACAATGTGCTTTGCCTTTTTCTGTTTTTTAAAGAGATGCAGGATTTTTGTGAAGCTCCATCTCTGCCCCCTGCTCCAGGGAGTGTCTCTTACCTCCCTCAGGTGTGCTCTAAACTAGAGCCCAAGCTCCGAGGCGTCCCCAGGGAGAGGGCTGCAGCCAGACTCGCGGCCACACCTGCTCTCCTCACTGCCCCCACACAGTGGCCTTGGGAGCCTCAACCCTGTCTTTGGCTCCCCAAGTAACATGGCAACAGGCCGCATGTCAGTAGGTTTTGTTGTTTGCAAATGCTTTCTCTTAGGTCCTCAGCTCATGCGATGATCTTGGGTGTGGCAGGAGGTCCTAGCGGTTGGGTTTTAGGCATGGGAGGGATATGGGAATAGAAGGGCAAACATCAGCCCAGTAGAAGGTCCACAGCGGGCCTCTCGGCAGGCTTAGCACCTTGCGGCCTGCTCTAGGTCACCTCCAGGCACCTGTGTCTGAACACTACGGTGCTGGCTCCGAAGATTCCTTGAGCTTTCAACCCAGCCTGGCTTTCCTCTGCTCAAACTCGTTGGCCCCGGGCCCATCAGCCAGCTGTCCCGAGCGGTGAACACCAGAGCAGGGAAGTGCAGAAGAGCCATACAAAGCCAGCGCGGATGTCTGAGATGCGAGCCGAGCTCTAGCCCGCACCTCTGGGCCTGCGCTGTGCTCTGTGCACAGCCTCAGTCTGCTGGCTCGGGACTGAGCTGGAGTCACCGCCGGCCGGGTGCTGGCTCACCCCTGCTGGTCTCCGGGACGCTGGCCTCTGTCTGGTTCCTCACTTGCTGTCATTCATTTCCAAATGCGACCCGACGACTCTGCGGGCTGTCCCTGGAGCCCCCGAGCCCCTCCAAGGCTGCGGCCTGTCCTGGAGGGTGCCAGCTTCAGCGTGAGGGCCCCAGGGGAGCACGGCCGCAGAGCAAGCCCCGCAGGCTCTGAGCTTACCCAGCACCCAAGGGTCGTCCACAGAGGACAAATGAGAGACGGGGTGCCTGGGGGTGTCTGGGGGAGTTTGCGGGTATCTGGGGTGTCCAGGGGCCAGCACTGCCCTTGATCTGAGCCTGATTCTTGTCCTGTGAAAAGGCCTTTGTGAGATGCAGGGGTCAATGGACCCCGGACAGAAGCCTCGATGCTGCTTCCCACTCCACCCCCCTGAAACGTGGATCAGGTGACCCCATATCTGTAGCACCCACTTTCTCTGTTAAGGGCGGGCGAGCGGCCGGGCCGGCGGCCTCCAGGATGCCCAAGCCCAGGTGGCCGCGGCCCAGCTGCCCGCAATACCCGCACGGGCCAGCAGGGGGCGCGCCGCCGCCGCAATGCTGGCCAACGGGCGTCAGGCCGGTTTTTCAACTTTACTTTTATGGTGTCTTTATTTCACATTTGTCTTGGCGCCCTAAGTCATATCCGTTTCCCAAAATATATACTTTTCTTTCCCTTAGTGAAGTCACGTTGGTAGAGGACACAGGCTACGGGTGGGAATCGTGGAGCATGACCAAGGCCCACAGCCCCAGCTCTGCCCTCCCTGCACCTGGTGCCTTCGCCTCCGCGACCCTCGGGCTGGTGACCACTCGCCGGCCCCACCGCCCAAGGGCTCTTCGGGTTTTGCTTGGTTCATCTGCTGGTTTGGCTCCTCCATTTCCCACGAGAAGGAAATCGCGAGGGATTTGGCGTGACCCTCTGACATTTCCCAGAGAACCGCCCCCGGCCCGTCCATGTTGTGGCAAGCACCGGGGTCTCGCTCCTGTGTGTGTCCACCGGGTCTCACCCACTGCCCGGCCTTGGGCGCATAGGCTGCGGCGGGTCTCGGTTGCTATAAATGCTGCCTCTTAAACACGGGGCACAAATGTCCCCTCAACTAGCCAGACTTGATTCTGACAGGGCCTTAAAGCCACTGGCTGAAGGGAGCAGCCGCAGGGGGTCCAGGCCAACGCCTGCGAGGCTGAGTCCCCAGCACGTCCAGCCTCTCTGGGCACCAGTCTAATGACAGCGCCACCTTCGCTCACCCCGCGGTGGGAAACACAGTTTGTGAGGCCACTTCGATCTAGCCCCAGGGGTCAGGACGTTTGCTAAAGCTTCACGCGCAGCTCTCGCTGGGAGCCAGGCCCGGCCTGCAGCTTGCCTGTGAACAGTGCTGCTTCCCAAGGCAGCCCAGCTCCGGAGTTTGGGCCCAAGAGCAAGCAGCCCAGCCCCGAGCACCCTCGCTGTACGGAGCTGGCTCAGGGCAGAGCCATGGAGTGCGCCCAGAGCAGGGCCCCGGGGTGTCTGGCGGGTCTGGTTTGGAGCCGTGCCCTTTGCTGCCTCCCCACAGAGCCTCAGGCAGAACTGCCAGCCAAGGGCAAGAGGAAAGTGGGGTGGCGTCCACCCCAGAAGGCGGGGCTGGCCGGGAGGGAAAGGTAGTGACTGTGCTCCTCCCTCCCGCACAGTGTTGTGGCTGCTGCTGGGGCGCCATCCCCTTCGAGGACACAGGCACCTCTGCCCTCAAGGGCCCCGGGGTCAGGGCGCCAGTCCCTGGGGATCTGCGCGCCCTTCCTCATGGGCAGCACGGCCATAAAGGGGAGGGGTCTTCAACCAACTGAACAAGAAAAACCCTCAAGATGGTCCCTGTGGTGTCAGGGGCCACACCACACACTTCCCACCTCGTCACTCAGCCTATTCAAGACCCTCCTCAGGCCTCCCCCCCCTGCCAGGCACCATTGAGGCCTCAGAAGAGCCTCGTCAGGCAGGATCCCATCTCAGCAGCCGTGGCCCAGCCATCCCCACACTCCAGGGGCGAGGAGCGGCCCCCAAAGTCCTGTCTGACACCCCAGTCCTCAGACGGCCAGAACCCCAAGAGGCAGAGGCTGCCCTGCTCCCTCAGCACCAGGCCAGACGCTAACACCTCCCTTGTGGCCCCTGCACAGGCGGCCCTGGGCCACACACACTTCACCCGCAGAACCGGGTGCCGTCCTGCTGGGTCCGAGGACTCACAGGCCCCATGGATGGGCCGGCAAGGGCAGGGGCCCCGGGTGTCTTGGGGGAGATGCTCTGGGGCTTTGTGGTCTCTCTTAGGCTTTTGGAGCTTCCCTGAAGCTCTGCAGCCAGGGCAGCTGGGGTGCACGTAGGACCCTGGTCTGGTCCACTCCCTCTCCCTCCATCCCGTGGAAGGGGCTCAAATCAGACACCCCGGTTCCTGTGGCTGGTCTGCTCACACCGCCGCGCTGGCATGCGGATGGCCTCGCTCTGAGGGCCATGCAGAGGCCCCGCTTTCCCTTAACCCTCACCAGAGGGGAGGGATCGCCACTCCCTAGGCCCCCTCTATGATGTGGGACCCCTCCTTGGCACCCCAGGCTCTTCTCTTCATTGTCCAGCTCAGGATGGAAATCCCCGTCTCCCCAGACGACTGTGGGGGACCTGCATCATCACCGGAGCCTGGCGCCAAACACCTGGCTGCCCCAGGCGCCCACTGTCTCCTCCGCAAGCAGCACCTGGTTGGAGCGGCTGCACCCTCTGGACTCTTAGTTCCTCCCCCAGATTGTACACCTTCTCTGCCCAGGCTGTCTTTGACCGTCCACCCACTGTGGAAGGGGGGGGAGGGGGTTGGGGGAGGGGAAGCTGAGGGAAGTGCAGGGGAGCCCCGTGGGCAGCAAGTGGCGAGTTTCCAGCCCCACAGCCTGGGGTGGGGCCCAGAAGTCCCCCCACCTCCCGGGAGGCAGGCAGCCCAGTGCCCAGGAGAGGAACTGTCTCTCTGGAGGGGGCCCAGGCGGGCCTGCCCCGAGGCGGCGAGACTGCCAGGACTGGAGCATGGGGGGAGGGTCTGTCCTCCCTGGTGTGTCCGTCCGCCTGGCTCCTTTCACAAGCCCCCGGTGTCCCCGCCTGAGAGCAGACACAGGACAGGGGGCAAGGCAGGGGCAAGCAGTTTCCCACGGCGACATGAGGGGCCTGGCCCTTCCCAGAAGTGAGGTCAGTAGGGGCCAGCCAGGCCTCCTGGAATCCAGGGCTGGTGGCAAAGTGCAGGTGAGTCAGGCCCGGCTGTGCAGGGCGGGGCTGGTGCTGGGCGGGGCAGGCCGCGGCAGCCGGGAGCCTGGCGTTGCCCTCTGTTGTCTCACTGCGTGGTGTTGGAGGGGCGGAAGGAGCATGGATGGTGCCAGCCGGCAGGAAAGGCGCTCTCAGCCCGAGCTGCTCGGCCGCACAGGCCGCTTCCTCGGGGCTGCAGTCCTGGGGGCTGCCACCATCCTGGGGGCTGTGGTCTTAGGGGGCTGTGATCCTGGGGGCTTCATAGATTTAAAGTGTGAACAGGTTCCCCCCTGTAGCCCGTCAGGAACCCATGGGCTGCAGGGACAGCCAGCCTGTCCCCCCACCGAGGACCCCGCAGGTAAAGGAGCCTGAGCAGGCCCAGCCGCGTCTCTGCAGGCGCCGCAGGGAGGGCGAGATTAGGTCTCCACAGCCTCCTCCGGCCTCTGCATGCCTGCAGGTGAGGACAGCTCAGACCTGCAGGCCCTCCTGTCAGGAAGGGCGACAACTTGCCCCGTCCCCGCCTGCACACACCACATTCACACTTGTGCTCCCTGGAGCAGCTCTCGGGAGCGAGCCCCGTGGGACGGCTGGGCAGTGAGGCTTGCCGCACCCCTGCACGGTCCGATAAACTCTTGGTCTGACTGTGCTTGGGACTTTATTTCCAGTGAGCACTTGCCGGGGCCTCAGGGACCCTCCCGTGCCCGGGGCCACGCAGTCCTGACACTCGTGCACCTGAGCTTCAGGTATGAGGAGAATATCTTGCTGAAGCTTCCCTCGGCCTCAGAGGAAAGTCCCTCCGCCAGGCCTCCTCAAAAGCCAGTCTCTCCCCTCTTCCTGCCTCGTGTTCTCCCCAAACTACCCGTGGGGAGACCAGGGTCCCTTGTGATGGGGACGGTCGTCCATGGGCTCTGCCTTCCTCCCTTGAGCCTGGGGCAGCCACCTGGGTGGCAGCAGGACACTGGGGTGTCAGGGGCCTGCCAGCCCGAGAGAACAGGGGCGGGAGGAGCCGAGGCACCCTTGTCTGA